TCCCGGAATATATATATATATATATATACTTATTATTGTGATCGAAGCTATAGCCAGGTAGTAGCTAGTAGTGATGCGTCTCCATGGTGTTTGGGTCTTTGCTGAATTTTGTATTGCACGTGGTGTTAGTTATTATGCTGCGTGCGTGTCCATTTCCATCCTGATTGGGCGCAACGGTTTCTAACGAGCTCCAGCTGTGATTGATCATGTGCCTCATTGAGCTTGCCAGATGCTAACCATATGCTTGCGTGGCGTGATTGGTAGTATGTTCTTGCATTATCCTCGGATAAAGCATTATCTGCCCAAAAATCCAAGTGTTTCTAGAAGCCCAAACTCATGTGTAAAGCATTTTTCTTCCTTCATTCCACAACATTTCTCTGAAATTGGGAAAATGGCTAGCCCATTTTTCTGGAACCAGGAAAATGGCCCACCCACAACTCTTCCGGGCCTGAGGCCTGTGACTGTGACCCACGAGGTTAAGGAATTGGCCCTGTTTTTGCTTCAACGCGTCTGGCCCAGGAAGATGGCACGCTGTGACACACAAATCCAAAATCTTTCCGCGAATTCTAAATTCTAAATTCTAAACGTTTGTAAGCATTTAATCCGCTCAATCAAAAAAAAAATGAGCAGTACTTAATCCCTGCCAGACCAATAAATCGAGCAGACCATTATAATGTGTACTGTACAAGTTAAATGCGATAAAGCCGATTGCCTTTGTCTGCAAATGCGTCGGCTGGAGGGCGCCATTATAATGTGTACTGTACACTCGGGGATCAGTCACGTCAAAATTTCAATCACTCCAAATTTTGATAGCGGCAAAATCTTTCAGTGAAATTTCTTAAAAAAAATAGAATATTTTGGTGATAGAATTCAAACCACACTCATAAATTTTGAAATTGCCAATCTTCAATCCCTTTGTCAACTGCTGGCATGCATGGCAAATTTCTTAAGCCTTCATGGTTTTCTGCACCAATTAAGGACTTGTTTGATGCATGTGTATCGACTTCAATCCACATGTGTTGAAGTGTAATGGAGTAGAATTTGGATTGAGATGAATATATGCGCATTCAAACAAGGTCTAAGAGATTGCTTGTTGGATTGCTCCGGTTCAGGTTCCAACCCAGCACACTGGTCATGAGCAGTAAGACAACAATTTTCATGAACAGTGCTATCATGAACTTTGCAAATTTTACTTAGAAGTTGAAAGCCTTGAACAATCAACATAGATTCTCCTTCCCAGTAAACTGAGAATAAAGCATATCTTTATTGCCACCATATTTCTTGTAGTTGTTGGATTCCTCCAGGGCATATCCTTAAGCTCTACTCCGACCATCATATTTTCAGGTGTATCATCTCGTGTGGCACCATGACCTAAGGATGGCATTCATCTTTGTGACCATTTCTCCAATGATCTATCTTGCATTATGTAAGCGTCTGTTTCAAGTGTTTCATCATACGAAAGAAGGGTGAAAACCCATGTTGCAAGCGCCTGTTTCGAGTGTTTCAGAGGTATGTTGCAAGTGTTTCATATAGATATTACAAAAGTAGATTAGGATGTTGCACATATTACAATGGTTGTACACGTATGTTGCAAGCTCCTGTTCTCAATGTTTCATCTCTTTTTCCGACATATGTTACAAGTGTGTTTATCTAGATGTTGCATATGTTTTCACACATATGATGCAAGTGTTTTATCTGGATGTTGCATATGTTTACAATGGTTTCAAGTGTTTTTCAAGTTTTTTTTTGCAAGTGTTTCAAACGCATGTTTCATTTGTTTTCAGACATATGTTGCAATTGTTGCATATGGATGTTTCAAACTAGATGAAGTGTTGCATCTCCCTCCTCGCATTTTCTGTTGTCTCGCCTCGGTGTCAGACGCGGGAAGGCGAAGGCGGTCTCCACTGGCGCGGGGCGAACCCCACGTGTTTGCGGGCGGGCAAAACAGGCGAGATGTGGGCAGGCAGATGCGGGACGCGAGACGGGGGGCAACGGCATAGGCGTCTGGACAGGGGGCTTAGCGTCCGGACGTCCGGGTGCCGGCCACGCCCTTTCTTTTTTCCTTTATTCCACAACATTTCTCTGAAATCGTGAAAATGGCTAGCCCATTTTTCTGAAACCAGGAAAATGCCCCACCCACAACTCTCCCGGGCCTGAGGCCTGTGACTGTGACCCACGAGGTTAAGGAATCGGGCTTGTTCTTGCTTCAACGCGTCTGGCCCAGGAAGATGGCGCGCTGTGACGAACACAAATCCAAAATCTTTGCGTTAATTTTAAACGTTGCAAGCATTTAATCCGCTCAATAAAAATTTGAGCAGTGCTTAATCCCTGCCAGACCAATAAATTGATCAGACCAAGTTAAATGTGATAAAGCCGATTGCCTTTGTCTGCTAGTTCCGTCTACAAATGCTTCGGCTGGAGGGCGCCATTATAATATGTACTGTACACTCGAGGATCAGTCACGTCAAAATTTCAATCACTCCAAATTTTGATAGAGACAAAATCTTTCATCAGTGAATTTTCTTTTAGAAAACTAGAATATTTTGGTGATAGAATTCAAAACGCACTCATAAATTTTGAAAGTGCCAATCTTCAATCCCTTTGTCAACTGCTGGCATGCATGGCAAATTTCTTAAGCCTTCATGGTTTTCTGCACCAAGAGCTTGCTTGTTGGATTGCTCCGGTTCAGGTTCCAACCCAGCACGCTGGTCATGAGCAGTAAGACAACGATTTTCACGAACAGTGCTGTCATGAACTTTGCAAATTTTACCTGAAGTTGAAAGCCTTGAACAATCAACAGAGATTCTGCCTTCCCTGTAGACTGAGAATAAATCATATCTTTATTGCCACCACATTTCTAGTAGATAGTGGATTCTTCCGGGGGCATATCCTTAAAGCTCTACACCAGCCATCACATTTTCAGGTGTGTCATCTCGTGTGGCACCATGACCTATACGATGGCATTCATCTTTGTGACCATTTCTCCAACGATCTATCCGGCACTTATGGTGCAGTACCTTTTTTTTATCAGGTACGACTTGGACGCATACAACCCACACACTCCACACTCATACCACACGCACATATACGTGTGCGCGTCCGTACACACGCAAAAAAAAATGGAGGCTCTTTAGCCTCCGATGCGGGTTTCCCACACGCACACACACGTGCGTCCCGTTCACACGCAAAGAAAGAGATTAGGAGCCTACCACACGCACACACGCGCGTGTGCGCGTTCGTACACACTCAAATAAGAGAGTGGAAGGCTCTCTAGTCTCCGGTGCGCGTTTCCCACAAGCATTCACACGCGTGCGCGTTTGTATACACGCAAAGAAGAGATTGAGAGGCTTTCTAGCCTCTAGTGCGTGAGAAACACGCAGTACCACTGAACACACATGCGTGAGTGTACCCTGCTTTTTCTGAAAAAAATAAAGAAAATAGGTGCGACACAGGGTTTGAACCCATTTAAACCCTGGTGGGTAGCGTCCATTGGACTATCCTACCACTAGACCACATGTCCATTCGCGACGATGCAGTACTTGGCACTCTCTCCTATTCAGAGTTCAACGGTGTAACTTGTACTCTAAACGCCTGATGACAAGTCATGATCAATTAAAGAATCTTCAATTCCTCACTTGCTCAGCACTTAGGTATGTCCCTACATACATGCTCAGGAATTCGGTCTAGGAGCGCATGAACTCGCTCATCTCAGGCACAACGGTGGTTGTTCCGCCACCCGCACCGGAAGAAGCTGTGACGGCGGTGACTGTGTCGTCCCAGCAGGAGCCACTGATGGTGCCGCCACTTGTACGACGCTGATGGTGGCGAACGTGCCATAGCTTGTGCAGCCACCACCACTAGAGCCTGAGCGGCCGCTGGTGCCACCTGCCGCTGGTGCCACCTGCCGCTGCAGGAGCCACTGATGATGCCACCACTTGCGATGGCACCGCCAATGGTACCTTACGTGCCGACACTGGTGCCGGTGCTGCATACATTGCTGGTGGTGGTGGTGGGAGAGCCTCTTGCCACCGCCACATGTGTGGGTGTTAATGAGGACCATGACTTTCCCCGGAATGGAAGCTACCTACTTGAGGTGTCGAATGCCATCTTGGACGTCGACGGACGACGAAATCGACGGTGGCGGCGTGTTACGGGAAATAATCACTGACCAGCCGGACGTTGAAGACAAAGGGTAGAAGAAACATTTATCCCACCTTTTCTCTTGAAATCTAAAAAATAAATAAAACAACCGGTGCGGTGTGTTACGTCAAATATATGCAGTTTCGTAATGGTACCGGACATATTTCGCCGTTGAAGGGGAGCCTATTAAAGTTGGATGTCCTATAACAAAATTTGCCTTTTTTTTTCAAATCATGAATAACTTGCACTTCAAGGTAAAACACGCTATATTGACATTACCACCTACGTAAAGACGAGCCGTCACGTCCTAGTAGAGCATCGCATCATCTTGGTCCCTGAAATGAAATGAAACGGTAAAAAACCCTGTGTTTCGCCCACTTTGGTCGACTCCCTACCGCCACGTCGCTAATACCCCCACTCATCATCGCCGCCGACAAGGTCTCCGTAACAGGACCGCCGCCACCAATGGAGCACGGCCTACCCTCACACCAAAATGCAAATGCATCTGCGTAGGATTTCCGGCAGCCCTGCTCCGCCGCTGGGTCCTACCCGGCCCGGCCCCCTACCCTGGCCTGCCTGTCTGTGTTAGCGCCCCCACAACACATCCCCCCCCTGTCTCCTCTCTTCTCTCTCTGTGTGCCTTCCATTCCATTCCGACGCTCTCCACTACCACTGCCATTGCCGCTCTCCTCTTCACCACGCCGGCTGCCACCCTCCTCACGCCGCTTCCCCCGCACCGGAGATTCCGATTCCTGTCCGGCTTCCGCGGACTCCTCGCGATTCGGAGTATCCCATGCCTGCCGTGGTGGTGTGGCGTGCGGTTGTCTCGGTGTGAGCTTACTTAGCGGTTTGCAGGAGAGATGGGCGTCGGGAGCTCGGCGGGCCGGCCGAATGGGAGTCCGCGGAGCGAGCGGGGGACCGGAGGACGCGAGGGTTCCGACGCGGTGGTCTGCTGGATCCGCCTCTGCGTCTCCTCCTCCTCCTCCTCGTCCCGCGCCAAGGTCGACACCGCCGCCGCGACCGCCCGTGCTTCCTCCGGTAATGCCTCTCCGATCCTCACGCTCTCCTCCTCTGCCAGCGTGTCTCTGGGGACGTATGTATGCTTGTGCTGCTTGTAGATTTTGTGCCTGCCGGTTGCTGCTCGGTGTGAGGGAATCGCGCCAGCTTTGGGTTTCGGATTGGGAGCTCGGTAAATGTGTAGTGCTGTGTATGATCCACATCCACACACGCCATTCGTGTCTCTGCCACGGACAAAGCACAAATGTGTATGATCCATATATTTTGTATGTGTGCCAGCGGCCTAGAAAGTAGGAATGTGTGTGTGTGTATGATCCATACATGCCATCTCTGTGTCTGCGTCCCAGGTTAGCAACGTGTATGATCCATGTATATGCCATCTGTGGTGCTAGAACTGTCCATCCTCTGTGCATGTGCGCAATGTGTGGCAAGCTAGTCTTGTACCGTTCAACCGTTGGTTGATGCTTTGATGGTCAAGCTGAAGGTGTGGGTGTGGCCCCTTTTCTGTCACCTGTTTGCAATTCTGAATGTAACATTGGAACTGCTGTTTACTGTGCACGATGATAGTGGCCTAGTGTGCTTACTGCTTAGACACAGGCACACAGTAGTTTTTGAGTGTTTTGAGGTGTATGAATCCCGTTCATTGTGCTCCAGGCCTCCAGGTTTGGGTGCCCTGTGTCCTGTTGTCTTGTTGTCTGTTGAATGATCCCTATGTGTTCCATGGGTGTTTGTGCCCCATTTGCGCCGTTGAATGATCTCTATGTGTTTTTTTGGGTGTTTGGGTTGGAGGAATTAGGGTGTAGGCCTCGTAGATTGTGCTATTAGGGGATGGTAATGTTGTGCTTATCACATTCCTGGCATGCTGGACTGCTCCTGTAAATTAATTGGCGGCTCAAGCTCAATGTCTATTTCACTTGCCTTTTTGCAATGCTGTAGGTTTGGAACTGTTTCATGTGCAGGGCGATGCTAATCTGGTTTTCTGAGATGTATGCATGGTTTGGAATGTTGTTCTAAGGTTTATGTTTTCTATGGAAAGAACAAGAAAGTAGGGAATTAATCTTTGACTGGTTATGTTTCGCCAACTTGTACTATGTATTGCTAAAATTGTAAATGTGTTTCATGCTCGTAGAATTTGCAACGACAAGATTTCATCATACGTTACACTTTGTGCTAAATATGATGTGCATGTACAGCTGTACACAATTAACGGAACACTTTTGTGACATTTATGCACGAGCTCATGCTAGGACCTGCATTTTTGGGGAATTAATTGGAATTTACGTGTAGGAAGCACTGGGCACCATAATTTTGCTTCGAGCCATTAATGACACGAATGAAGGCGTATTTCCTTCTGTTTAGCTTCAGAAAACATCTTTTTTTTAATGAACAAAGCATCTATTTTAGCTTGTTGCCTCATGCTTGGAAAATAGTATGCTTATTTTGTAGCAAGTCCCATTGAGTCCGTCCAAGTTATGTCTTTTGGTTCATTTTACCAAAGGTTTGTCAGTTACTGTAGTTTAATACTTATGTTTTTGGATGCAGAAACTAGAGGAAAGAATAATGGTATCCAGAACCAACCTGTTCAACAGATAGCTCCTGCTTCGACATTGCCTAGCAACTCTGAAAATATTTCACCCCCATCTATAGTTGCAGATGGGCTGACGGTATCATTCCAATTGCGGAAGTTTACTTTCAATGAATTGAGGATCGCAACCAGAAACTTCCGTCCTGAGAGTCTTCTTGGTGAGGGAGGGTTTGGCCGTGTCTACAAAGGTTGGATCGGAGAGAACAGAGCTGCTCCTGGGAGACCTGGCACAGGGTTAACTGTTGCTGTCAAGACCCTCAATCACGATGGGCAGCAAGGGCACAAAGAGTGGGTGGTATGTTTTACTTGTCTTTGATACATAGAGGTTTGAACTAACATTCTTTGTATTCAAATCTTAAATGGACCTTTTGTTTTCTCAGGCAGAGGTCAACTTTCTAGGAAATCTGAAACATCCGAACCTGGTGAAATTGATTGGTTATTGCCTTGAGGATAATCAGAGGCAGTTAGTATATGAATTTATGCCCCGTGGAAGTTTAGAGCACCATCTCTTCAGGAGTAAGCATCTGGCATCTGTTACGTCTTTATTTTAAGCATATGTTGCTAGCTTCCTAAGTCGATGAGTTATCTGAATTGGTCATTTCAAAAGTCAATGTATTGTGGAAGAACTTATATTGCAAATGGTTGCATTGTGCAAAGTGCCATCTATTTTTTTTTATATTTGTTGCTTCAGAAAATTGGCATCTATTGACCTGGACAGAGTAGCACGTATCATGCTATATTTGACCCTGAGACTAGAGCTTATAATATGCCTTTTTATGATATATTTTTACAGTTTTTTCTTTTCTCAGCTATCATAGACTACAAACTTTGGATGAAAATATGCCCCTTTCTTGTCAAAATCATTTTGTGACTGCAGGCAGCTATAATGGTAGCTCATGACCCCTGAAGTTTGGTAGTTATCATGCTCAAAAAAGTTTGCTGGTTAGGTATTGAAATACATTTTCTTTTCTTTTAATGGGGAAGGTCTTGAAATGCATTGACCCATGAAGTTTGCTGGTTGTCACTTGTTAGCTGGTTGTCACTTCTCTTTTTTTCCCACTTTTGTGTTAATTTCTCCAAATATTGGTACTGTGTAATGCTTGATCCACTGAAATTCATTTTGGTTTTTATATTTATGGTGGATGTGAAGGGCGTGCCTAGTGCAAGCTGTAGAGTCTTACCGCCTGTGACCGGCGGTCTCCTCGCATTGCACAGGCGAGGGTAAGGCTTGCCACTGACACCTTTCCCCAGACCCCGTACAGAGCGGGAGCTCTCTGCACTGGGTACGCCCTTTATATTTATGGTGGATGTCAATTAACTTATTGTTTTGTGCAATAACTATGATTAAATAGAGTCAGTGCCACTTCCATGGTCCACTCGAATGAAAATTGCACTGGGCGCAGCAAGGGGCCTTGCCTTTCTTCACGAAGAAGCTGAAAGACCTGTGATCTATCGGGATTTCAAAACTTCCAATGTTCTACTTGACACAGTATATATCATTTTTATGCCTTACCTTTTTTTTAAGTGAAACACATTTACCGTTTTTTTAGATCCTCATGTTTGTCCTTTGTTCAACATATTCTTCCATCCAGGACTACAATGCGAAACTTTCTGATTTTGGGCTTGCTCGAGATGGTCCCATAGGTGATAAGACCCACGTGTCAACGCGAGTCATGGGAACCTATGGGTATGCTGCGCCTGAATATGTTATGACAGGTAAGGTGATCTTTGTTCTTTTTTTTAGTAAAAATAATTGAATTTGTTGGTTGGGTAACTTTGAGCTTGCAAACTATTGATGTCATCCTACTGAGCATATGCTGAAACTTGTATATCAAGATGTCTACTGATTTGCAAATTACTGTGCTATCTATATCTATTCCGGGTATATTAATTTCGTTAAAAAAAATCCGGCTATATAAAAGGTGTTAGTGACTGTTGGTATGTCAACTATAGCTTACCACCAGAGTCATCTAGGTTGAAAATATTGTTCCCAAAACATAGAGATGGACAGATGGTGGTCCTTGACTAAACATTGTAGTGATTTGACAAGAAAGATGCAGTCTGTATGCAGAGGTGTTATATCTGCACGACACATTTATCGCATGTACTATGCCACACCATCTTTGTATTATGTGATTACAGATATTTATGGTTCCCATGTGCACTCTAGGTTGTGCACTAGCTGTCAAGTTTGTTGCTATATTAAGTGGTCAGAGAAGCATCATACAGGGGTGGCACTGGGCTGAACTAAATTCTCTGCTTTGGATTTCAAAATTTTGGTTGGACGCCATTCAAACTAGCAAACTGAATGACATGTACACATTGTGGGCATGGTATAGAATAAACACCATTCAAACGAGTACCATACTGAAGTGACTGCATAGTTTGCATGCATAAACAGAATTAATTCCTAGTTTTCAGTACTGTTCTATGCATTGCTAAACTATTACCATTTCCAGGTCACTTGACCTCCAAGAGCGATGTGTACAGCTTTGGGGTGGTGCTGCTCGAGCTCATAACAGGCAGGCGATCAATGGACAAGAGCCGACCAGCAGGGGATCACAACCTTGTAGAATGGGCTCGGCCGCATCTGAAACAGAGACAAGGATTCCACAGCCTGATGGACCCTAAACTTGGTGGAAACATCTCCCTGAAAGGCGCTTACAAGGTGACCCAGCTGGCCCGCGCCTGCCTCGCCCGGGATCCCAAGGCCAGGCCTCTGATGAGCCAGGTCGTGGAGATCCTCAAGCCTCTCCCGGACCTCAAAGACATGGTGGCATCTTCACCCGGCCTGTACCTGTCCTTGCAAGCAGAGCAGGTTGCAAGGCTTGGCTACCCGAGTGGCAGCCGGAGCATGAGCCAGCACAGCAGCTTTGCAACTCGGAACGGGCAGCAGCAGGTGAGGAGCCTCTCCCATGGCCGCCACGGCCATGGTTCTCCTTCTCCGTATCTGCAGTCGCCGACGCCGAGGACCAATGGCAAGTAGTGCTCCGGTGATTGACTTGTCATCGTCCCCATACGATTGAACTGAAGATTGGGAAATTAGAGAGGCGGGTAATTTGTGATGCTGTGATCTGCTTCTGCTTCTGCTTCTGTGTTGTGACTTGTGACAGTCAACCGGGCAAGAGACTTTTTTTTTGATGAAAACCGGGCAAGAGACTTTTCACGGTGATATCGATGGGGAGGTTACCTGCATCTACGGACAGATTAGATTCTTGTGGCAGAGGTTTAGCTGTTACTACTAGCTCTTAACTTAGAGTTGTACATGGTGTGGTTAAGTAAGCTGGAGACGGGGGAGCTCAGCTCAGCTGGTCAAGATTTTGGCTCCCCTTGATTAAAAAAAGTTTTTTCCTTTCCCTTTCAATTTTTCTCTTTTTTGAGATTGCCCCCCACAGCATTGGTGGCTGTGTATATCATTGATTCATAGGATTTGGGGTTAGACATGAATTAAAGAGAAAGGGGTTAAAGCAAGTAAGCAAGCAACAAGAGGCTCTTCAGTTGTCAGTGTCACCATTCATGTTCGGGTGTTCGAAAGCAACTCTATGCTGTGCTATGATGCCCATTACTGTTCATGTGTATCATTCACTCTTTACTCGTGGCAACAGTGGCAGGTCCTTCTCGTTCTGGCAACATTGAGCACATTCCCCATCAATGCCTCTGCATTCTGCACCAACGTGTTCACCGGCAGCAACATCTGAATTCAGGCAACACACATGACACATGAACATACTGCAAACTCATGCTGCATTATATTTATGATATTATCGGTTCCCTAAAAGGTTAGATAAAGGTTCTCCAATCCCCATGCATCAAGATAACCATCCTAGCAGTAGCAGATGGTTCTTAAGAGCACTATATATGTTCCACACATTGATCACCCCAGCTCCAGAGAAACATTGATGAGTGATGAACAATATAGACAAGCATCACACTGGTCTGACTGACGAGATCATATATATGTATAGGTACCAAGCTCCTGAAATGATCATGCTGCTCCAGTCAGCAACGGCAGCTTAGTGCTGGGTGACAGAGGAGCCCTGCAGGAGGCCGTCGCGGATCTGCGTGGCGATGTCGCGCACCGCACCGGGACCGTGCGGGATGAACACCGACGAAGCCTTGGACGATGCGCCGATCTCCTTCATGGTGTCGAAGTACTGGGTGATGAGCACCATGTCCATGACGTCCTTGGCGGTGGTCCCGGGCACGTTCACGGAGAACCCCAGCACGCTGTCCCTCAGCCCGTCCACGATCGCCTGCCGCTGCCGCGCAATGCCCAGCCCGGACAGGTACTTGGCTTCTGCCTCCCCCTCAGCACGCTTGATCTGCACGATCTTCTCCGCCTCTGCCTTCTCGTTTGCAGCCGCCCTCAGCCTCGCAGCTGCCAAATTGAAAGGGCAACAGCAACCACTAGAGTGTCAGTGTGAGCATATGATAGATACAAAGCTGGTCATTATGTCTAGTAGTTCTTATAGCTTGTTAAGCGTCAACCGACGAACCTGCGTTGATCTCGCTCATTGCGCGCTTCACATGCTCGCCTCTGGTTCGATGTCCACGGATGAGAGTCTGCACGATCTCAAAGCCATAAGCCGACATGGCCTTTTCAAGCTCTTCCTCCACCGCCCTTGCAATCTCGTCCTTCTGCTCGAAAGCATCGTCCAAATGGAGCTTGGGAACGCTTGCTCTGATAACTGTTGACAGCAACCACAGACATCACCATGAGCAATAGGATAGCATGAGCAATTCCAGATATATACTTCCACAAATTAACAACAGGGAAAAAAACAGCACATAGATATAGACAAAGTGGTGTCTGATATGTTAAATCTTCAGTTGTTCTAAGAATTCCTACCGTCAAAGACGTAAGCTTGGATCTGGGACCTTGTGTTGCTCAGTTTGTAGAAAGCGTCACTTGCTTTGTCAGCCAGAGCGCGGTACTGAATAGATGCCACCACATTGACAAAGACATTGTCCTGCACAACTTCAGGTGTTAGCAGCATTACCATAATTGGCAATTCAATATCATTTATCACCATTCAGATACTAAACTAGATGTGAACAAAGCTTTTGCATTTATTTTTTGAGCAAGCAGTAAAAACCTTCTGCATATGCAGTATTCATATCAGTGTTGTATTCTCAAGGCAGGTTAACATGCATCTGATCTATAAATTGAAAGAACTTATCAAATCAACAGAGTACAAGCTTTCAGAAGCATCTAGTTTGTTTCACCATCAATCCTGGAACAGTGTCCTAGATTACTTTTATAACACTTTTTGTCAAGCTTTATAACCCAGAAAGGATTAGAGCATCATTAATTTCATGCTCTCAAACTAATGCTGCATCAAATTGACAGCTCTCCTCTTTGCTCATAAAAAATGAAGGGTAAGCACGACATACCTTTGTTTTGGTCTCACAGCGCACATCCAGTTGCTGCAGCCTGAGTGTGAGATGACCAGCTACACGCTTCCCGGCAAACCAAGGCATGCAGTGGCATCCTGGCTCAAGCACGCTGTCAAACTTGCCAAACTGCTCCCTGATGGCCACAGTCGACTGGTCAACTTGAACACAGCAACACAGGTTGCCCATAGCTGCAGTCCACGGATCACTTCTGCTGGCACCTGAACATTTCATAAATCATAAAGCCAAATTGGTAGTTAGTACTGAGAATAGTGTGAATAAGCCCTGCAATTGAGATTAAGTGCTGGCAATAGCAACTACTCTGTGGTCAGCGTAAGGTACCTAAGACTAAGACGATTTAAGGTTCACTGCGTCACAAAGAACAAAGTGAATGGCATGTAGCACCTGAATGTTTCATGTATCATAAAAGCCATTTTAGTACTGAAAAAGGTGCAAAGAAGATCTGCAGTGAGATTACTATAGAAACTAGGCAAGGCATAATGCTTTAAATCAAGTATTCTCCTTAGGCACAACGAGAACAAGCATCACTTTCCTCAAAGTAAAGCAGAAAAACTCCATCTAAACTTGTGCACATAGGAGAACTGTAGTACCAGAATGATTCAATTCAAATTTTCTCCTAGGACACTCTAATCAGAGATCAAGCATCCCTTTCCTCAGAGAAAAGCAGGACACAATCTAAACTTGTGCTTCCAAAGTAGCATCATGAATTTTCCTCAAAAAATGGAGTTGCATCATGGCCATGATTACTAAGGAAACAGCATAACAGTACCTGAACAAATATGTAACCATCTCCATAAACTCAAACTTTACTCTAGAACACATTTTCACTCTTAATTCAAGTTCCGCTGGCCTTACATGATGTGTGCAACTTAGAACCTAACCATGAGGCATTAATTTTCTCTTCAGAAACTAAAACCTTGCTGTAAAGCAAGAGAATTTAAATCACCTGTAAATATTCAACTTCAGAGGCTATAGCTTAATGCACAAACAGGGATGAACAAGTAAGGAGAGCTGTGTAGCCCAAGGTAACTAAGACCAGCTACCGTTATCAAGAAGAGACTAACACCAGTTACTAGATCCACCGCACCATATATAGAACAAAGAGAAGGAAATAGCGACTTAGTTCTACAGCACACATCAAAGCAGAATGAAGACTGGAAGAATGCAGGAAGAGAACCTGCTCTCGTTGAAACGGCAGAGCAGGAGAGAAGACCCTGATGGTATCAGGACAGGGCTAAATGCCTAAATGACAGGGTGGCGTTGTTTGTGAGGCAGGAAAGGTATCTACACTTGGCACCTTAAATAGCAACTAAATTCAGTAAAGCCTGCTCAATTATCACCTCGTTATTAGCTGTCTACACGACGGATTCATCATCATATAACACATACTAGAAAGGAAGCAGACTGGGTGGGTCAGCATCATCTAGGAGGTTGACTAATCCCCACTTGAAGGATTGGAGCAAACATACAAGCAGAACATGTCGCTTTTATTATTCATATGATAATGATAATAGAAAATCGGCATGCAATTGCGTGCCAAAATCCGGAAGACTTTTTTGAAACAAAAATCCGGAAGACTTGCGGGGAGTGTTTATATACGACACAAAAACCTCTCCTTTACCCTTTTTTTTTTTTTTTGGAAGGAAAACCTTGGAAATTTCGGTGCGTAGCAGTAGCTATCAAATTGGTTGAAAAATCCGGTGCTAGGCCGCAACTTAGGGGGAGATATCTGGGGGCAAATTCCAGGCACCTCCACACTATCAAATTGGTTGAAAAATCCGGTGCTAGGCCGCAACTTAGGGGAAGATATCTGGGGGCAAATTCCAGGCACCTCCACACGTTTCAGAAACGGGGGGAAATTGGGGCCCGGACAAAAGGATATGACTGGGTGGATGGTGTCGGAATCAGAAACTGCAGCGGATAGAATCCAAGTTTGCAGTAGATTTTGGAGTCGTCGCTGCAAACAAGAGGAGGATGTGGTGAAGAAGACAGGGCGGCTAGGATATTTCCGGACGAAATTACAGTAGAACAGGAAAAAGAAAAAGGTGGCAAAGTGGGGTTTTCTTCGAGGAACAGATTGGGGTTTTCTTCGCAGAACAGATTGGGGTTTTCTTGGCAGTAGACAGATTGCAGGCAAGTGAGGTGAGACTGCTAATAGGCAAAGCAGAAGATGGCAAGCAGCAAAGAAACAGAGAAAAGGATTCAGAATTGGAGAGGTTCGCCACCGCCCTAGAGAAGAGGAAGAGAAGTAATCCATGGAGATGAGGGCAACCCAAAAGAAAAAGGCAAGATTGGGCAGAAGGCAAGCAGCAAAGAAACAAAGAAAAAAATTGAGAATTGCAGAGTGGAACGATCCAGTACTCATCTCATCAGTAAGCAAAACCTAAGAAAGAAAGAAAGAGGGGTGGCGAGTGCGGCCATTACCTTGCCTTGCGGGGGGTCGTCGATGGCAGTTTTGTTAAAGGTAAACCATATCAACAATTAAATAATAAGGCTCTCCCTAGAAGGATTGTGTGGAGGCATGTGCTGAGCAAAAACATAAAGTTTTATAGGGTGTTCGGCTGGTATGAA